CCCCGTGTGTGGATTATATTTCAGGTACACGAAGTGGTGCAGATGATATCTCCCTTGGCAAGATGCAAGTATAGGGATGGATGACTTTTCATGAGATTTTGGCATATTTGTTTAGAGAGGCATGATAGGATGCTTTTTTTTAAGACATGTAGATTTTGATATCTTTGTTCATGTTTTGTACACTAATCATATGATTGTACATGTATTGTAAGTCAAATTATGTTGTAGACATTCCTGTTGGAGATAGTGGTATGTAAAGAGGAATTTATACATGATATAATGGCTTGGTGCCAGTGATATTGTGAGTTTGTAAACTTTTAGTTATGAAATGTATTTGGATACGATAATTATGTATAACTGTTGTTTTGTTGGAAAGTATGTCGTAAATATTGATGACATGTTGTGTTATGTTAATAGCTTGAAACCTGAGTAACCCTAAGGTTGGAAATTAATGAAAATATTGAATTGGTTTATTATGCGTTTGGTACAAGAAATAGATGTCTAAAGCCTCAAAATTATATTCCCCCGTTTTGGAGAGCGCGCTAAAACGCCCCTGGGCGCACTAAAATGAGCTAAATGCCAATTCTCTTGATTTGGGAGCGCTAAAGCACACTATTGGGGTTTTCTTTGGGTTTAGCACGCTAAAATGCACTGAAGCGCACTAAAAATGAGGAAAACAGACTCGAAGAGCCCGCTAAAGCGCGCTACACGAAATCAACATAACATGCATTAGAAAAATAACTATAACTGGAGCTATAGAACTTCATATTGAGCATGGTTTGAACCTACGCGAAGCTAACAGAAAGACCTGCAATCCTACAAAATCTTAGGACCATTGGATGTGAGGATATAACCCGGTGCCACTTTGAAGTTGATGCTCTATTTTCTGAAGTCCGGTTGGGAACAACCAACTTGTGAGTTGCATAACTCGAGCTATACTTAATCAAATGGTTAGTATTATACCTTTTTCGGAAAGCCTAATATGCCTACTTTAATATAGTAAAATATTAAAGTTAATAATGAAGTCATATGATTTCCATAATGTAACTAGTGATGACGGGTGGACTACATTGTACCATTTTTTATATTTAACAATTCATCCATAATAAATTAATATCCTACACTACTACCTAACAACTAAACAACATGGCAAGGTTCATCCTCGTAGGGTTTAAAACACTACATTATCCTTACACTAAATAAACTACAAAATTCACCATATTAAGATTTATATCATACACCACACTATATTATAATTAATAATCAACATTAAAAATATTAGATAGAAGATGACTAGATACTTACTTGTATAGAAGCTTTAAAGAGATGTGACCTAAGAGATAATTTTAGAAAAAGAACGGGAAATGGGAGGAATCAAGACATAGACGTTGGAATGACAATGACTCATTATACCAAACAATAGGTCTTGCGACACTGCGCTACATGGACCCACTCTGCAACATAATGAGTCTTGATCACGCCATAACTGATAGTGTGTCCTGAACAAGCTTTTTGTAGTAATTGGTCAAGCACGGGAATTACGCGCTAGAAGTGTGGCAAACAGAACTCGCTTTTGTGACTGTGTCATGGGACTATTTATTGACTTTTTTTACATTTTTTCCTCTATATTACTATCTCTTTCTTTCCTCTCCTAATTTAGTAGAGGAAAGACAATATAAAAGGTATATATATATATATATACCCAATGGGTGCAGCTCAGTTGGTAATTTGGCGCTGAGTTAGTGGGGTTGGATATATGTTCGATTCCCGCTGAATGCATTCTTGGGGAGGGGGCTGAACCTTTAGCCATCACTGTTCCCCGCACTCCGGATTAGTCCCATAGCCGGCTCAAAGAGTCGAAGCTCGTGGGGATACCGGAGGGAGCCAACTCGTCTCAAAGAGATAATTAGGGTTGGGTAACTCCAAAATATATATATATATATATATATATATATATATATATATATATATATATATATATATATAGGGGCAGGATATTCTTACACTGGTGTAAGAGTTAGAAGTCTTACACTTAATCTTGACCGTTGATCCACTTGTATCCAATGGCTCACATTACTAAAAAATTTGAACTCTTAGATATAAATGGGATCAGTGGACAAGATTAAGAGTGTAACTTACACTGGTGTAAAATGATCCTAACCCTATATATATATATATATATATATATATATATATATATATTTACATTTTTACAGCTGCTGTACATGCAACAATCAAATACTTGCCATATATATACATGAAAATATTAAATGTGAGGAATCATAACCATACAAAATATGAAAGAATTAAATGTGGAGAATCATAAGCATACACCTGTCATTGTTGTACGTAAAACGGCTGTAGAAATGATTTTACCACACACACACATATATATATATATATATGGGATAGGATCAACTTACACCGGTGTAAGAATAATAAATTTTACACCAAATCTTAACCGTTAGTTTCCGTGCATCTAACGATTGAGATTTGTTGGGAATTAAAAATTAATGAATGAATGAGACCTAATAAATCTTAACCGTTAGATGCGAAAAATCAATGGTTAAGATTTGGTGTAAGACTTATTATTCTTACACCGTTGTAAGATGATCCTGCTACTATATATATATATATATATATATATATATAGAGAGAGAGAGAGAGAGAGAGAGAGAGAGAAATGATGTATAATGTTAGTGTATATAAGGTTTGGTGCAGTCAAAAAATTATAACTATGTACTACATATAGTACATTGTTATGATAGTAAAGTTATTTTTCCCCCCAGAAATATAACTATTTACTACCTGTAGTACATAGTTATAACATTAAAATTATTTATTTTTTCTTTCCTATGCCACCCGACAAGTCTCTGAAAAGTTACTGAGGGAGAGACAGGAAACAAGCTGTAATATCATAACTATGTACTACCCATAATACATAATTATAATTTTTTGACCGCACCAACTCTTACATGCAGTTACTGTACATCCATTTTACCTATATATATATATATATATATATATATATATATATATATATATATATATATATGCGAATATCTAATCTCATGTTATAGGAGATACTTCTCTTATATCATAGAAACAACATATGGTGGGTCCCACCATATGTTAAAAAAATAAAATAAAAAATAACAAGACACATTTATCGATGTATCTATAGCAATAAGATAATTCTCTTCTACTATATGAGAAAATAATCTCTCTCTCTCTATATATATATATATATATATATATATATATATATATATGGAAATAGAAACGTCATGTTGCATGACACAACTTCTTTTTCCTATGCACTAAAAGTTAAAAAGGTGTGGACTCACTTTAATATTTTTTTATACAGTAAAACCCACAATATTTTTGTATTTATGATATGACACAAGAAGTCTCATCCAACATTATATTCATAAAACCCGTATATATCAAAATACGGTCACTTTATTTCATATAACATAAAATTGTATCATTTAAATGACAAATATTTTTTCATAAATTAAAGTTCTTTAAATATTATAATTTAACAGCTTTGTTATATCTGTGTAAAACATCTTAATATTTTTTCTTAATATTATAATTTTATACTTTTTATTTAATAGTTAAGAAATTATTAAAATAATGGGGACGATTATATTTAATAAGTTTATCACCTTTACAATTAATCTCATCGCCGTTAGATTAGAATTAAATCTAGGGATAAGTTATTCTACCTACCAATTTTTTTTGCCTATTTCTGCCTACCCCCTCCAACACCATCAGATCGGAATCTCAAGAAGAGAGAGAAAGATAAATGTTAGTTAAAATTCTGATCTGATGGTGTTGAAGAGTGATAGGTAGAGGTAGACAGAAAAAATAGTAGGTAGAATAACTTATTCCTTAAATCTAACTGTCCATAATTATCCCTTATAATCCTAATTTTTCTCTCACATTCCCTCTTTGTCTTTCTCTCTCTAGGTTTTCATACTCTCTTTATCTCTATCTAGTTTTGAGAATCACCTCTCTCGTCCGAGAAAAGTTATTGTGGACCCGGTCCATCATTATTAGGTGGTCCTTTTTCTTAAATTGAAAATTTTGTATGACATTTTTACCCTTATTGTTTTGCTCATTTCCCTCTTTATCCTGATTTTTTTTCTATTTTTGGACAAGGTACATATGCAAGAGAGGGAAAGACAAAGAGGAAATGTAAGAGAAAAAATTAGGATTATAAAGGATAATTATGGATCGTTAGATTTAATTGTAATCTAACGACAATGAGATTGATTATAAAAGTAATAAACTTATTTGATGGTAAGTACAACCGTCCCCTAAAATAATTGGTTAAGAGAATTTAAAATTATTCACAGTTCGAAAAAGTAATAACTACTTTTATTAATTCCGAGAGTGTAATCGTAAATTATTCAAATTCGAAGAGGTTCCTAAAGATTTTGTTTCCGATTGAAAAGATGTATTGATACACGCGTTTGTTTTTCTTTAGAAAAAAATCTGAACATTAAAGTTATATTATTTTCTTGAATAGAATGAAAATTATATGATTTTAAATTGTTAAAAAGAAATGATTGAAATTCTATTTAAAAAAACTTTACCATAGATAAAGATTCGTATAAATGACCAATATCTATCTATAAAAGGTATAATATAAAATAATGAATTGTCGTTTGAATTTGAATAACCGAGGATGAAAATTGAAAATCTTTCCCGCTAATTATCATTATTGTTCATCAAATGGTCTTGATTATCATATAATGATGGGGTAAAAAAAGGTTTGAATCGTGAAAGCCAAAGGATTAAGAAAAACTCAGGAGGAGAAGAGATGATGATAAGCGACCCATGGCACGTGCGAGGGTGTGGGTCCCACTCATATTAAATTTTCAGATAAGATAGAGAATTCAGGGGTATATATATGGAAAGTAAAGTAAGGTATCATTTTTATATATAGTTTGTTATTTATTATTCATTTTGCAATTTCCATATACAAAGATATGAATATGTATTTGTCTTTGTCAACAACTAGGCTAGGGTTCCCAGTGGGCACTCCCCTCCTCAAAATCAAAGGAGTACAAACAAGACTTGATTCCTCTATAAACTCCGTTTGTCACTTGCGATTTACGAGCGGGAAACGGCGGCCATAGCAATACTTGCTAGTCGTTTTCTTTCCCCCTTTCTTTCCGTTTCGCGTTTTGGATTAGACCCTCTCTCTCTCTCTCTCCCTCTCTCTCCCATTCTCTCTCTCTCTCTCTCTCTCTCTGTGTCGTTCACTGCTTTATCTTAAAGGCAAAGCGAAAACCGTTCTCTCTCTGAGACTGAGAATCGGATCCTGTGGTTGGTATTTTGAATTTCTCCGCGAGATGGACGAGACCTTGCTCGACGATATCATCCGGAGGCTTGTTTCGGCGAAGAACGGTAGAACCACAAAGCAGGTGCAGCTTACGGAGTCCGAAATCAAACAGCTCTGTGCTTCCTCCAAAGAGATCTTTCTCAGTCAGCCCAATCTTCTCGAGCTCGAAGCTCCTATCAAGATTTGTGGTCAATTCTCTTTTTTTATTTATTTATTTAATGATTTCCAATTAATCATAACCGTGCCTGTTTGTGCCGGTAACAAATCATGCATGGCGACGTTTCCGTATATCATTTCCTGTGCTTGCTTGGTTCCTTTTTTTTTTTTTTAACCTAGTGCTAATTGTGAATTGTGATGTGAGAATTCTTTAATTGAATTGAATATAAACCGTTGACATATCTCACATGCAATTCTGTTGATTTTTCATTTTTACATTTAGCTGTTGAGTTGTTGAGAGACCGCTACACAATTCCTTGTGATTTAAGGTGGACAGCTATTGATTATACTTATTTACATGGAATATTATTGAAATTTATGAACCTCCTGAATTGCCAACCTATTTAGTGAACAAATTGGTCTTGGTATAAAAATAAAGCTTTTAGTTATACCTCTTGGAAAACTTCTTTGGTGTCTTGATTTTGCTGTGGGGCTTTAGGTAGGTGCTGCCGAAGTGAGGATTGTTGTTTGGTTTTCTTAGGACGATTCAGTGGACAGGTAGGAGAGTGGGAGAGGGCAGAGGGAAGTGTGGTCATGGTACTACTACTTATGAGATAATCAAATACATGTGCACAATTGTTAACTCTTCATTTACGTGGAATTGTGTGTCGAGAGTCTATATAAATGAATAAACTGTTTGGATGCCTTGTTGGAAAGACTCAATGGCTTCTACTCCAATAGGCACATTGCTAGTTGCACGATACAATTTCCAATATGTTTGTTGTTTATCTATCCATGTATTAAAAGCGCAAATCGGGACTCATGAAGCACCGAGGCTAGATGACAGAAGGGGTCAGTGCTTTTTGGTGTTTTAGGCAAGCTCCCTTCTGTCAGGCATACGCTGCATTGTGATTTATGATTCAGGCAAGTCACTTGCCTTAGTGACATTTTCATGGTGTGATACTCAGTTTAATAATTGTATAAAATCTTAAAGCCTACCCATCTAACATGCAAGCCTTGTCATGAATTTAAATTTTTATGTCTGCTGTGGCGGCTGCCACATTTATTTTGTTTGTAAAATCTATATATACTTCAGAGCCTGATGTCAACTTATTATCATGCTTTTTCACTTGAACGTTTTTTTCAGTTTTATTTTAATATGAATGTTATGCTTGAGTAGTTGATTTATGGAAACACATGTTAAAATTGCTAAACTTTTCACTGTTTTCTGCCTGTTAACTTTAATGCCTTGCTTTAGTCAAGTCTGTGTCTTTTGGCGTCAGGCCTTAAAAACCCTTGAGCCTTAAGGTGGTCTTTTGCTTCAGACCATCTTGTTATCAATAAATGTTAAATAGTGAGTGACTTCTGTTTTAAATAATTCATTTGCAGGAGATGTTCATGGCCAGTTTTCAGATCTTTTAAGGTTGTTTGAATATGGAGGATACCCACCTGAAGCTAATTATTTATTTCTTGGTGATTATGTTGATCGTGGTAAGCAGAGCATAGAGACAATATGCCTACTCCTTGCGTACAAGATCAAATACAAGGAGAACTTCTTTCTTCTCAGGGGCAACCATGAATGTGCCTCCATCAATCGTATATATGGTTTCTATGATGAGTGCAAGAGGAGGTTTAATGTTCGGCTCTGGAAGACATTTACCGATTGCTTTAATTGTCTACCAGTGGCTGCTCTGATAGATGAGAAGATCCTTTGCATGCATGGTGGACTGTCTCCTGATCTTAAAAACTTGGATCAGATAAGGAATATAGCTCGCCCTATCGATGTGCCAGATCATGGCCTTCTCTGTGACCTGCTATGGTCTGATCCTGATAAAGATCTTGATGGGTGGGGAGAAAATGACCGAGGAGTGTCATTTACATTTGGGGCTGACAAGGTTGTTGAATTTCTTGAACAACATGATCTCGATCTGATTTGCAGAGCTCATCAGGTAGTGAAACCTGAAGTTTGGTTGATTTTAATTGTTTTATAGTTCCTTCTGGATTGATCATCCATGGCTATAGATGGTATCTTTTGCTAGTTTGTTTGCACTTCTATTCATAAATACTAGAGTTGGGCATACTTGATGTGTTTGCAATTTATTGATCATTACTCAAATTATTAGGTGAAAATTAATCACAAATCTTTGAATAGATTTATAATGATGACTGAGAATCTAAGGAAAAAGAGAGAGACAGGATGGATATGAATAAGACAAAAATTGGGTTTTGAACACCCAGATTAATTTATATTATAACTCTAGAGAATTCATTATTTTTAATGCATACGACGGAATGTGGTTTTCTCGTAATGCTTGTGCTTTTCTCTTTCCTTTCTGTATAACCAACTTTGACACCTCTTAAATATAAGATATTTTCTGTTTATGTCTAATCGATGATCCTTTCTTTAGGTGCCTGTCTTTGCTGATGTAATTGTATTTTGTATCATGTCTTTGTCTGTCTATGCTGATCCTTTTGCTTAGCTCATGGGTCTTTATTTTTTTAATTAATTAGTGAATCTCATATGATATTTTCCTTTTAAACTTTGGGCTTTGTGATTCAGGTCGTAGAAGATGGATATGAGTTTTTCGCAAAGCGTCAGCTGGTGACAATATTCTCTGCACCAAATTACTGTGGCGAATTTGATAATGCTGGTGCTATGATGAGTGTGGATGACACCTTGACATGCTCTTTCCAGATACTTAAATCTTCTGATAAGAAAGGCAAAGTTGGATTTGGCAGCAACACATCTAGACCGGGAACTCCACCCCATAAGGTAAAAATATGGGAATTAATTTTATGCATACACTTGTTCCTTAACACTTGAGCATTTCTATATATGTATGTCGTTCTATGTATTTGTATTTTTGAATGCAAATATGCAGAAACTCGAGTTACAATCAAGAAGGTAAAAGTATCATAATTTTAACTAGTATTAGCAAATGTGGCGTTTGATCTATATGTATCACTTTAAATAACATTAAAATACAACTGTAGTACCAAATGTTTTTGTTGCACATATATATATCAATGAATTTGTGTGGATTTATGAGTATTATTTTAAGTAACATTAAAATACAACTGGTAATCTCAAAGTTTAATGCTTCAAACTTACATCATCAGGGAGATTTTATGATAGCCGAGTCAATGCTTTGAGTCCTCGTTAAAATTTAAAACCCATTTGTGGTGTTCCCGTTCAAGCTTGCTGTCCAAAAGAGATTCAAACCTCCCGGGGCTTTACCCATTACAAACCACAATTATACTATACTCTTAAACCAAATATCCATTTTTTTGCATGGCCATCCAACTCTGAGAGCTTAGAGCAGCAACCTATATAGTGCAGAGCCTGTGTTCTTAGGGGCATGAGAGAGAAGTGACTTGCTCTTTGGGGAAATTCTCTTCACGAGGTTTACACCTTCATGTGGTCAAGGAGTTCTGGTGTTTGTTGATATTCAAGTTCACCGAAGTTTTCTCCCAATGTTGAATAGAGAAAGGTGAAGGGAAAGGAGTCACACCTTTTGTATACGGTGTTTACTCAATTTTCTAGGTTTTGTTTTTTGTATTTGAATTTGCTGTAACATCTATTGGTTTTGTGGTATGAAAAACTCTAGAAAATTTACTTGCTGCCTTCTTTTGATCCAATCACATGCTACATATATTTTCTGAATTTTACTAAGTTCTGGTCCTCTTAACCTTTTGTTCCAGGGTGGGAAGGTTTAATTAACATACCCGACCTATATAACTATGTGGTCTGTGAGCTGGATGGAGGCTTTCATTCTCATTCTCCATATTAGGTCAAAGGCTTATCATTCTGCTGCCTGGCATGTTTCTCAAGATATAATGCCATGGCGCTTTCATTGGCAACGATTACTAAAGACAGTGTAACAAGGGACAAGGCACTTTTTATCGTGCGACTTCGATTGACCCCCTTCCCCTTGTTTTTTACTTTCTTCTTTCTAATAGTTTTTTTTTTTTTTTTTTTTTTTTTCTTTTCTCCTTTTTTTTCTTAATGAACAATGGAAATTTAAACTTATCAAGGGGAAATCCTGAATTTCTATTTTGTTATGGTGTTGCGATAATTTTTATAATTGCATCAACTTTTATGCTGAGTGTGCCAGCCCATAAAAAGAAGAAATATATGATGATCGTACATATACTCCGTTTCTCACCGTACAATACAATATTGTAGAGTTATAAACGTTAAAAATAAAGCAGGGTAATGAGGATGCACTCAGGTAAGCAGTAACTTGTACGAGGTTACTAAAGGCTAATACAGTCCGTTCTGTGGTGTTTCTCATCGATTTATGACTTAGAATGTTATAGTTTGTTAGTTATTTGTTAAGATTTTTTATTTTATTATTTTCTGAATTGTTGGGTTATTTAAGTAGTGGGTAGTTAATTGAATTTTAACTTTCCTAAAGAATAGGTCATAGATATTAGTGGAGCCTATCTACTGTTAGTGAGCAGTTATTTTTTAAGTTGTCTTGTATTATCTATTTAAACCTTTAGGTATTTGAATAAAAGTATCAGAGCCTATCTACTGTTAGTGGGCAGTTATTTTTTAAGTTGTCTTGTATTATCTATTTAAACTTTTAGGTATTTGAATAAAAGTATCAGATTAGAAAAGTATCTCAAAAGGCACTTGTGCAAGAGGTCAGGCTTCCTCATTAAAGCCATTTGAGGTCAGGCTTCCTCAATAAAGTCATTTCCATTTTTATTTATTGTGTCCGTAACAATTGGTATCAAAGTTCAGGCATGGACAAACGCTTTCAGAAATTGGAAGACGCAGTTCAGTCTTTGTCGGAGCAATTCAAGGAGATGTTCACCCAATTCTCCAACAGATTGGATGTCTTGGTGGCTAATCGGCCCAACATCCTCTCGTATGCTATTGAGCTGGAAAAACCATATGAAGCCCACAATCAGAAGATCATCTTTACTGCTCAGAATATGCGACAGACCATAATAGTCAGCAACACCAAGGGTTCATCTTTATCCACTCCCACCAGCGGTGCTGCATCTTTTGGCAGTGGCGCCTCCTCCACCGGTTCGACTCTCGACGCATTCACTCTTGGCCATCGCTGCAAACAATTGTTCACCATCCAAGCAGTGACAAAAGAGAGCGACAATGAGACGGTGTTTGACGAAAGTGAAGGAGAAGCGGATATTGAAGATGATTCAATTACTTGATGTTAAATTTACTCTTGAGGACAAGAGTTATTTTTAGGGGGAGAGAATGTTAAGATTTTTTATTTTATTATTTTCTGAATTGTTGGGTTATTTAAGTAGTGGGTAGTTAATTGAATTTTAACTTTCCTAAAGAATAGGTCATAGATATTAGTGGAGCCTATCTACTGTTAATGGGCAGTTATTTTTTAAGTTGTCTTGTATTATCTATTTAAACCTTTAGGTATTTGAATAAAAGTATCAGATCAGATTAGAAAAGTATCTCAAAAGGCACTTGTGCAAGAGGTCAGGCTTCCTCAGTAAAGTCATTTGAGGTCAGGCTTTCTAAACAAAGTCAAATTCTCATTTTTATTTGTTGTGTCCGTAACAATATTAATGTGTGATTTCAACGTGAAAATTACCATACTTTTGTTATATTTAATTTTTCTTTTTTTTTTAACATGATTTAATGTGTTTATTGATTTTTGAATGGATCTAGTGATTTTTTTTACTAATTATTATTGAATCTTGTTGAATTTTACTGAAAATTTTGCTATATTTGTTTAACTATTTTACTCTTGAATTATAGAAAGATTGTTTTTGAAAGAATGTATGTGTTTGAACAAAATTTATATTTATTGTGAGTCTTCGTATTTGATAATTGTGATCATTGAGTAAAATATTCATTGCGATCAAAATCACTAGTTTCGACTTCAAATTTTAGATACATAATTATGTTAAAAATTTGATGAGGATAATCAACAAGACAAATGATTCACACTTAAATTATGTCAAACATGAGTTAAGTGAATTATGTCAAATCTAATTTTTTTTATACAGTAAATCTAGAACTTTAATGCATTAGGTGTATGAATTCTTTTATTGTTGGGATATTCAAGTGTGATGAGTCCCACATTGGTTGGTAATGTGTTAAGTGAAGAGTATATAAGTGGAAGGACCCATGAACCCAATGCCTTAAGATTTTGGGTTGAGATGTGGTATCGGACTCACTTGGTGTACTTGGAGTAGCTTAGCTCATTGGTGGTGGCCCCCGTCACGGGCTTCCCCTGGACCCGCCTGACAGTGGTATCAGAGCCGGGTTGTGCTCGAGCTAGCCTGTGATTGGCTAGGGGGCGGGTTGAGTACTTGGGCAAGGAGTACTCAGTTGAGTGGGATCAAATCAATGGTGGGTTTCACACTTGAGGGGGAGATTGTTGGGATATTCAAGTGTGATGAGTCTCACATTGGTTGGTAATGAGCTAAGTGAAGAGTATATAAGTGAAAGGACCCATGAACCCAATGCCTTAAGGTTTTGGGTTGAGACATGGTGTCGGATTCACTTGCTACGGTTGGTGTAGCCTTAGCTCATTGGTGGTGGCCCCCCGCCACGGGCTTCCCCCTAGACCCGCCTGACAGTGGCGTAACCAATTGAGACTTTTTCACTCAATTATTCACAGTTAAATTCCTTAATAATGATCGATAAATTGATAGAAAAAATCAAAAGAAAAAATAAGCAATCACATTGTAATACTTTAAGGTTAAAATTATACTTATATATATGGAATTTTATTTTCTGATGTGGTTGGAGATAAGTATCTCTTACCATAGACATATGATGTGGGGGGTTCACCACCTATTAAGAAAAAATGTTATGGCACAATCTTTTATGTGATAAGAGTATGAAATAATTATCTTATATAAAAAATGAGAATGATATATATATATATATATATGGTAAAATCTTTTCTGCAGCCACTTTACGTACAACAATGACAAGTGTATGGTTATGATTCCTCATGTTTAATGCTTTCATCCTTTGTATGGTTATGATTTCCTGCATTTAATACTTTCAAGTATATATATGGCAAGTATTTGATTGCTGCACGTACAGCCGCTGCAGAAATATAAACCCCTATATATATATATATATATATGTATATAGGGGTAGGATATTCTTACACCGGTGTAAGAGTTAGAAGTCTTACACTCAATCTTGAACATTGATCCTCTTGTATTCAATGACTCACATTACTAAAAAATTTAAGCCCTTAGATATAAGTGGGATCAACGGACAATATTGAGAGTGTAACTTACACTGGTGTAAAATGATCCTGACCCATATATATATATATATATATATATATATATATATATATATATATATATATATATATATATACTTCATCAGATTTGATAGAAAAAATATATATATATACTTTGTATAGCTTTCCATATGAATATGATAAACCAAAGAAACCGAAAGTTATTTAGGTTCAAATGATTAGTGCCGTTTAGGGTTACTTTGAACCAAATTATATTTCATGATTTATAAATTTCAAAAGTAGACCCAATTAATGAATTTGTGCACCACCTTTTTTTTTTGAGACAAGATGATTTCAGTTCTAACATTTTACATGATTTGGTTAGGAATGCTATTTTTCAATATCTACTCATAATATTTGGTATCTATATTTTATACAAGTATTATTTTTAAATTCTAGTTAAAATAATAATTCACATATGAATAAACTCCACTTTATACAGTTTACACACCCACACACATATATTAAAAAAAAAATTAATCACATTTGTTTCAATAAAGTCAAGTGAAAAATGTGAATCAAGCGTAAAAAGCCCTTTGATTCAAACCGAAACTTGTTAATAGCAATTCGCAAACCGGAGTGACTGAGTGTATGTGTATGTGTATGTGTGTGTGTGTTCTTTAAGAAATGAAATGCAGGGAGTGAATAGAGAACCTGATTCTCAATGAAGTGCAGATCCGTTGCGTGCATATGGTCAGGCACGCCTTTCCCTCACAGAGTGACCGCCGTTGCCGCTTTAACTGAACCACCATCACCAGCCTTTTACACCGCCGGATCCGATGGTTCTATCATCTGGTGGACCCTTTCCCATTCAAATTCAAATTCCAACTCCACTTCCACCCCGGTATTTCCCCTTTTTATTTCTATTCTCCAATCTTTTATTCTTTCAATTAAGAAATTACGATTTCTCTTCAATAAGATTGAACTTGATTTTGCAGCAAGTTAAAGCGGTGGGGATGTTGTGTGGTCACGCAGCACCCATCACTGATCTTGGAATCTGTTGTCCCGTCGCAGCTGAAGAAGAAAACGGTTATCTTTCAAGTAAAAGTAATTTCAGTGCGTTGATAAGTGCATGTTGTGATGGGTTTTTGTGTGTGTGGAGTAAAAGCAGTGGTCATTGCCGATGCAGGAGGAAATTGCCGCCTTGGGTGGGCACTCCGCGTATAATTCGAACTCTGCATTCAACACCAAGATATGTGTGTATTGCTTGCTCTTCTTTCGTGGACAATTCTGTCAATTCCATTGAAGAAAATGAAGGCCTAATGGATACTAATGAAACTCTGTCCAGGAAGCCCCCTAAATGCACTATCCTTATTGTGGACACATATTCACTTTCCATTACTCAAACTGTCTTTCATGGAAATCTATCCATTGGTCCTATCAAGTTTATGTCACTTGTATTAGCAGATGATGATGATGATGGAAAGAGGCATTCGGTGTTTGTGGCTGATTCAGTTGGGAAGCAGCAGATGGTTCCGATACCGGAGGATCCTCGTGATTGCGGGGAAAGCTTGACAAGTTCAAACATGGATAAATCTCAGTTGGAAAGTTCTTTAATATCTGAGGGATTGAGTGGTGTTGAACAAATTATTTCAGTTTTAACCTACCGGAACTTTGTTGCTTTTATATTGAAAAATCGCTGCATATTTAGGTTATTGTCTGGTGATACTAAAATTGGAGAGGTTTCTTTTGTGGACAATCTCTGCTGTTTGGATGGGCTTTCTACTCAAGCACATGTTATTGGTGGGATGTTTCTTGAAAGTGATGATGTGGGGAATGAATGCGGCAACTTGATTCCAGTACATTTTGTTGTGTGGAATAATAGAGGTTCTGCAATTATCTATAAAATATCGTATCAGAATGATGTTTTTCAATGTGAACCTCATTATGAGGTTCCTGCTTCTCATTATGAGCCTGATACGAGGTTATCTGTTTTTTTCCTACAAGTAAATCAATATCTTGTGTGCATCAAGTCAGTTTGCTTTCATTATGAGGAACCTTTACTATGGAGACCTCATGTCACAATTTGGTCTCTGCATCATTTTGATGATAAACCTGGTAAATTGTACCGTCAATGCAAAATGATCAGTTGTGGTATATCTTTTACCAACTGGTTTGAGAAGTCTACTCAGCTCAAGGGACTGGATGGTCTAGAGACTAAATCAACTTTTGGGGAAAACCCAAGTTCTAATGATATAGACAACATACATGTGGATAGCATAAGTAATCATTATGCTTACAAGGGGCAGATGGTTTCTTCTTCCATGATTATCTCTGAGAATCTCTTTACTCCTTATGCGGTTGTATATGGTTTTTTAAGTGGAGAAATAGAGGTTGTAAGATTTGATCTGTTTCAAGGGATTTGCTTGGATGGTGCAAGTTCCAATCCTAATGAAAAGTCAACTACGTGCAAACAGTACTTCTCAGGACACACAGGTGCTGTACTTTGTTTAGCAGCCCATCAAATGATGGGTAGTGGCAAAAGCTGTTCTTTTAAACGGGTTTTGTTGTCTGGAAGTACGGATTGCACTATTCGTATATGGGATCTTGACTCTGGCAGTCTTATTATGGTAATGCATCATCATGTAGCTGCAGTGCGTCAAATTATTCTTCCTCCATCTTTGAATGGACATTCTTGGAGTGACTGCTTCCTTTCAGTTGGAGAGGATGCATGTGTTGCTCTTGTTTCTCTTGAGACTCTGCGGGTGGAGAGAATGTTTCCTGGACACATGAACTATCCTTCAAAAGTTGTATGGGATGGAGTAAGAGGTTATATTGCCTGTCTCTGTCAAATGCATTATGGAACTTCCGATGCTACTGATTTACTTTACATTTGGGATGTAAAGACAGGTTCCCGCGAGCGAGTCCTACGTGGGACAGCTGCACATTCAATGTTTGATCATTTTTGTAAAAGCATCAGCTTGAATTCTATATCTGGCAGATTGCTGAATGGAAATACATCAGTCTCTTCATTACTTCTTCCAATAGTTGATGATGCAAGGTTCTCTAACTCCCCCTTAAGTCTCTCAGAGAACTCGCTTTCCTCATCAAGGTCATCGCCAAGTATTTCAAATATGATGGAGCTGGATTCTTCCAAAACAAATGCAGGTAAAGGAAATTTAGCAAAACCAAGTTCATCCTCTCTGTTTGGTCTCTTAAGTAACAAGCTTCCTGTCAAATGCTCTTGCCCATTCCCTGGGGTTGTGTCTCTGAGTTTTGATCTTGCATCATTGATGTTCTCTTATCAAAAGAATGAGTCCATGGAAAATGGTGGTGGCAAGCCAGTAAATATCAGTTCGAAGCAGCAGGGAGTTCAAGAGCAAAATCCCAGCATCCATAATCCAGAATCTTTAGAGGGGCAAGACTGGGTTAGCCTATTTGAAGAATATTTACTTCGATATAGCTTGTCATTTTTACATTTGTGGGGTGTAGACAGTGAGCTCGATAATTTGCTGATAAGTGACATGAAGCTGAGGAGACCAGATAATTTTATTGTAGCTTCAGGTCTGCAGGGGGATAAAGGGTCAATGACATTGACATTTCCTGATCTGAGTGCTACTCTTGAGGTAATTTGGATTGTATGTTGGGACCTATTTACTTTCATGTCTCATTTCAATAGTTCCTGAGACATTAAAAACCACATTTCAGCTCTGGAAATCATCATCTGAGTTTTGTGCAATGAGGTCATTGACGATGGTATCCCTTGCCCAACGTTTAATTAGCTTGTCTCACTCTGGTTCAGCAGCCAGCAGGTATAGTGGCAATTGCATTAATAGAAGAAAACAAAACCTGCACAAATCAGGTTATTTGTACACTTCAACATTTACGTTTTGGGTCTAGTGCTCAGTATATTTTATGTTTTATGGGTGGGTTCTTGATATTCTTTGAGCCTAGCTGAGTTTTGAAATATTACTTGCAACATATTAGTATTCTTTCATAAATAGAAAAACTATTAAGAAAGATGAAAAGAATAAAAAAGAAAAAGAAAAATGCCCAATTTAGCTTGGCCACCTAGATATTTTGTATCTATCTGTCCAGCTGGTTAGTGAAATAATTAAATTTGATGTTTTAGTAGATCTGCTGAATAAAAAATATTTAGTATGTGCAGGCCAGATAACAAAGTAGGTTTTCCATGTCTGGTTCTTGTGATGCTTGCAAAGATTCTCTGCAGTTGTTTATCTTGTGGATTCCCCCCCTACTAATTTGACTTTAACCGCTTGGATAATGGTGTTTCTGTGTGGTTCCCCAATTTGAATTCCCTTTTCTGCTTTAATTCTGAATTCTTTAATTTGTAAATTAATTCTTCTCACTTTCTTTGACAAAATGCATTCAGTTAGAAAAGATGTGCTAATGATTGATAGTATCATGTGCAGTGCTTTAGCAGCATTCTATACCCGGAATTTCATGGAAAGTTTTCCAGATATGAAGCCACCTTCATTACAGGTTGTAATTGTGAAAGTGCTTTTGTAGTTTTGTAATTTTAATCCCAATTTATTTTACACATGTTCCTATGTTTTTCGTGAGCCCCTGGGGAATGCATGATAAACTGGTATGCATCATACTGGTTCTGACTTACATTGTTCTGAACTTGATTTTAACCAACCAAACTGAGTTTACAGAGTATTTTGTTGATGGCATTTCCCCCACTTCCACAATTTCAGTAATAAGAAAAACTTGCTCTGGCCTGTGTGACTAGTCGTAGTTATGAAAATTTTCTCATGATATGTAATTATATATGATAATTATGCATTAGTTTCTATTAGTTGACATAATAGCTGTAATTTAGTCTCCATGCTGTTGCGTGGGTCTACATACACCATTTACCTAATTAGAGGTGTATTTGTTTCTTGATTAGAGACCTTTGTGTCAGTATATTAGCCACTTTTCTGTGTCTTAAAATTTAATGATTTATTTCTTTGGCGATATCTGTTCATCAATCTTGCTTTTTTATTCAATTAGAATTTCTTGCAAAACGTGTTTTCTATTGTATTGCTGTACAGATTAGGAAATGCGTATCACTTGGTTTCATTTCTCAAAGAGGAAATAAGCTGCTAATCCTAAAACTATATAGTTTAGAAATTGTTGAAAGGAAAAAAGTTATTTTGGGCCAAGATATGAGTGCAGTTATTTGATGCCAACAGCTAGGTTATTCAAAAATAATGCCATATGTGTACCCTAATGGGAAAAGACTTTGGTTGTTGTTGTTGTTGTATATGTATTTGACATGTATCAGGTACAGGTACAGTTAGGTAATTTGGGGTACATCTTGGTGGCACAATTCACAATTCCTGTCCCCCTCCACATAAAAACGCAGCATTTTGCTTCAAAATTCCCTAAAATATAAATTGAGGCAGTTGGGGGGAATGGGTTAACCGAGGGAGAAAACTCATATTTGCATGGCCTTCAGAGTTTGATCATGCCTCTCTCGTATCTGTCTTAAATTTCCTCATGACCTCAAACTTTAGTTTTTCCTTTTATTGGTAAACAAATTATTCATTGGGCATTGAATCTTGTACATTATGTGTTTCTTGGAAAAAGCTCCTTTAAAGTGAGTTTGTCTCTAAAGTTAAGGTTGCATCCACCCTTAAATTTTAATGGATTAAGATCATGATGCAATTTAAATTTATCAAGGGTGGATACACCCTTACTTCTCACTTTAGATGAGCTTTGTCCATGTTTCTTGCGTGTTTGAGATAGCTTAAAATCTGGCAGTCTAGTTCATACTCTTTGCTGCAGCATAACATTTTACTAAAGTATTTTTTATTTCATTGCTTCATATGATAATATTACCGGAATGATCAATTCCATTGCTTGACTTGTATTGTACTTTATATTATGGGTGGTTGACAATGTTTATGAATTGTGTTATCAAAATACTTGCCAATTACTTGATATGAAGTGCTGAAGACTATCCTCTTTTTACAGCTCTTGGTGGCATTTTGGCAAGATGAAAGTGAACATGTACGTATGGCCGCACGCTCTATATTTCATTGTGCCGCCTCTCATGCTATTCCACTACCTCTATGCAACTCAAAACCTATTGAGCCAACTAATACAATTCCACAAACTGGAAGCAGAGACAAACATCTGAGAGATACGGCAGTAGAAAGCATATCTCCTATGGCAGAAAATCAAGGAATTTCCCAAGATGAGGAATCCAGGATACTTGCTTGGCTAGAATCATTTGAAGTACAAGATTGGATTTCTTGTGTTGGTGGAACAAGTCAGGATGCGATGACATCTCACATTATTGTTGCTGCTGCACTCGCTATCTGGTACCCTAGTCTTGTAAAACCAAGTCTTGCCACTCTGGTTGTTCATCCATTAATGAAGTTAGCTATGGCCATGAATGAGAAGTACAGCTCCACTGCTGCCGAGCTCCTTGCAGAGGGCATGGAGAGTACATGGAAAAAATGCATTGTTTCAGAGATACCTCATCTGATTGGGGATATTTTTTTCCAAGTAGAGTTGAGTGGCCCATCTTCCAAGTCAATGACAGAAATTTCAGCTTCATCATTTTCTATTAAACAGACTTTGGTTGAGGTTCTTCTACCAAGTTTAGCTATGGCTGATATACCAGGTTTTTTGACTGTGATCGAAAGCCAAATTTGGTCTACTGCATCTGATTCACCTATCCACATGGTGTCCTTGTTGACTCTTATAAGGATTATGCGTGGTTCTCCAAGAAATTTGGCTCAGTATCTCGACAAGGTTTGTAAAGCCGCTTGTTATAGACCTTTCGGATAGATTCATCTTGCCGTTTCTAGATCTGGGCTGATATAATCACCAGAATCATGTTTTTGGTTCAATATCTACTTCCAGATGTTCATTTATGTATTTTTCTTTTCATTTCTTTTTATTTTTTTATTTTTGTTTGCAATTGTCATTTGTTAGATGTGAATCCTTGAAAAACATTAGCATTTCTTATACTGGACTAGTTCCTTTAGGTGAATGATTTTTGTTTGTAGAGAATTATATTGGAAGAATGATTAATGATACTTTATTATTTGAAATTTGGCCTTTTTTAAAAGAAAATAAAATAAAATATGAGTATTTTATCTTTTGATCTCAGATGTTCATTTGTAATATACTAATGTTGACAGGTAGAACTATTTAGTATTTATGCCTTGCAAACTGAATCTTGTCTGTATCTGTTATGACCGGAATTCCTAATGGGGGCAACCTGCAACTTGGGAAGTATATTCTCACAGGAATATGCCCAAGGCAGTAGTTAGATCAGTTGAGGGCATTAATTAGGGGCCCAGGTTAGTTAGCAGCTGTTAACGAGGTGGATATGCTGTTAGAAATTTAGGAGGGAAGCCTAAACAGTTGTATATAAGGGAGACACTCCCTATTGATAGATACTTTTGGGGAAATTGTTGTAAACTGAGGTATTGCTTGGTGTGAAGGGAGAATTCCATTGTAAGAGTTCATCTCTTGTATTCTTTCGTTTCTATTAATCAAGAACATCATTCTTTCCTCTCCCTTTCTCCCATCTTCCCATCTTTCCTTGTCTTATTACTGTAATTCACTTGCCTCTCGGAACTCAGAGCCATAACAATATCTTTTTATCAGTTCTTCATTTTGATATAAGTGTGTTTTTGTACTTTCTTATAAAGAAGTTCCCAGTCTTGGTTCTCTCTTTACTCATTGCTGTTATTCTCTATTCCTGGTGGTTGGGAGTTGAGTGATACTCTCTTTTTGGGGGCTATCTTGTTTTTGTTCTGAATCATGCTTAGCTTAGGATCTGCTAGTAGTCTTCTCCGCCCCTTAAGTTTTAAATTACATACTTCTTAGTTGTTTTTGAAACATGAAAGCATGAATTTTTGTGACAGTTGGTCAGATCTGCAGGTGGTCAACTTCATTTTACAGACTATAGATCCTAGCAACTCAGTTATGCGGAAAGCATGTTTCCAGAGTTCAATGACAACTTTCAAGGAAGTTGTACGTGTATATCCTATGGTTGCTGTCAATGAATCATGGACCAGACTGGCAGTTGGAGATGTGATTGGAGAAATTAACAACGCAAGCATTAGGGTTTATGATATGCAAAGGTATCAGGATATACACTTTAACTTTTGAATTCAGAATGGATATATGCTGGCAACGTGTAAATACCCTCCCATTGATAGTTCTGTCTCACACATGTACTTGAGAGAAGGGCACAAACTTGATTTTGTTTCATCTGTGTTATAAGCTGGGTGAAAAGGCAAAAAGAATTAAAATCATTGGATGGAACTGGAAAATTAAATTTTGGAGGGAAAAAATAACAATATTGAGGATATAGTAGTACAAAAATGTGGAGGCCCTATACGTACCACTTAGTTTCCCCGTTGATTGTATCTTAAATAGCTGAATGGTTATTTTCTGTTTTGATAATTGTATTCTTCAAGGTCATATAATCAATTCACGTTCAGAAAATATTGGAGAAAATTACCAGACCACATACATTCAGAGACATTTGTAAATCACAACTCTTCTGTATTAAGGAATATCTCAGTGTAATTTTGTTTAGGGTTTTGCCGTCTCCATTTACCCCCACAAAAAAAAATGTGTATTGATCGGTAGGCCATGGATGATATAGATTTTTTTTTTTTTTTAACTTATTATTTTGTAGAACTTTAGGTTTGGATGAAATGAATTAAGAATTTATTGTTGACCTGACCTACTTTTCCAGTTCATAAGATAATGGCATTTATAACCTGTGTTTCCTCTCTCTTTCCCTTCCCTTATATTCTTCCCTTCTGAAATCTCTGATTCAAATTGTTCTCTGCTTGTGTTTCTTCTCTTTGTGATAACTGAAGAGATAATAATTTTCTAAAATGGAGAGCCTTAATTTTTTATGCAGTGTGACAATGATAAAGGTTTTGGATGCAAGTGGACCTCCTGGACTTCCTAGTCTGCTCACAGCAGCAGCATCGGGAACAATGTTAACTACGGCAATTTCAGCGCTGAGCTTTTCACCAAATGGAGAGGTACCAACCAATTGTTGATGAAAATCTTGATTGCTTGGTGTTTCTTGTTATGATCTAGTTGGTAGGTTTTGGATTAGCCAACCAAATAATGATATAAAAATTTGGTCTTATATTCCTATCTTGTGAACATTTGTGTTTTATAGTTCAGAATCTTAGTTACATTAGGTAAACTATATACCCTGAGATTTCTGTGACCTAAATAATGGGCTGTGGTTGCTGGATTCAGACCATATGTTGCTGTCTTGCTGATTACTCGTGCTTTTGTTGACAATGATAATGTGAGTAATAAAGTCAGTTTTGAGAAATACTTGAGACTACTGATAACATAAGAAGAGTAATGGCGAATCCTTACAATTTACTTCCTTACAGTTTTATGGCTCCCACCCGTAATTGGTTCACTATATTTTGTATGATTTAACATGGCTCCCACTCGTGCTTTTGTTGACAATGATAATGTGAGTAATAAAGTCAGTTTTGAGAAATACTTGAGACTACTGATAACATAAGAAGAGTAATGGCGAATCCCTACAATTTACTTCCTTACAGTTTTATGGCTCCCACCCGCAATTGGTTCATTATATTTTGTATGATTTAACATAGCTTTCCATATTGGTTTCATCATACTTGATTGGACCAATTTAAACCAGATGACAAGCTTTATGGACTCCTGTTTCCTATATTGTACTTTCTACTCCCTATAATTCCCCCTTACAAAGAAATTGGTTCAGAATATTGTTTGGTAAAAATCAGTAAATCTCTCTTAGTAAGCTAACGAATCTTCCATTTCCATTCAAAGTTTATTTATAATTGCTTTTATTTTCTGTTTGCCACTCATAATAATTGTATCAACAAAACTCCCTACGGCTCTGTGCATCTCCCCACTTTATACCAAATATTTTGTTTCTCTTTATCTGTGGGTTTATTTGCCATGGGATTGGTGCTTTCTGCAAGTATCTCGAACTGATAATTCTTTCCCTCCTACACCTTTAAACATTTTTCGCTGACAGGGGCTGGTTGCTTTTTCTGAACATGGGCTAATGATTAGATGGTGGTCACTGGGATCCTTCTGGTGGGAGAAACTGAGCCGGAACTTTGTTCCTGTCCAGTGCACCAAACTAATCTTTGTTCCTCCTTGGGAGGGATTCTCACCTAATACATCCAGGTCAAGCATAATGGCCAACATTTTTGAAAATGACAGGCAGTTGAACTTTCAGGTAATTTTCTTTTCTTTTCTTCTTTTTTTCTTTTTTTCAGACATAAAACTAATTTATGTCTAGTGAGTGAAACTAGAACTTGATCTTCAGCAGAAACTGAGGCCTGAGGGCAGATGCAACGAGTCATATAAACTTCTCTTTAACAGGAAAATTCAATTTCTAAGTTGGAAAATCATTAGTTTAAACTCAGCAAATGATGAAAGCCTGATAGAAAACGTGCAAAGCTACACTGAATTGGTTAAACTGCATGAATATAAATGAAAAAAAAAATCTCGTGCCACCTAGTGTAAATAGCTTGAGATGAAAGCTTCGCTACTTTCCACCATCTTTCATTACGGGTTATTAGGTCATCTATTATTTCCATAAATCTATTTCTCCTTATGCGTAATGACCCCAAAATTTCTTTTTGTAGGATAATGGTATGGATTCAAATAATGGGGACAGTTTGAAACAATTGCTTCATAATCTGGACCTCTCTTATCGACTGGAATGGGTTGGTGAACGGAAAGTTCTTCTTACAAGGCATGGTCATGAATTGGGCACTTTTCAGTTATAAGCATCAACTAGTGCTGAATCTTTAAAATTCTTGCTGGAAAATTTCATTGATTTAACAATTTTAGTTGAGGCTGTATCATGAAACGACCCTTTAGCATGTATAGCAGGTCATACTAGCAGCAGAAGATTTTTAATCTGGTCATACTAGCATACTAGTTGAGGAAGGTATTCATTGGAGCGCTTACAGTTCGAACCGCCTTCGCGAGGATTTATAGAGATCAGCACAGATGGATTTCTCTTCGGGAAGTCCTTTAAAAAGGAATGTTTTGGTTGGTACCAAGAGCCAATTGGATGGTCTTTGTACGACACAAAATAAATTTGGCTATATTTTTGGTAAAATAGTGAGAAAAAGTAGAACAAGGGGGCCTTACAGTATAGGAACTGTTAGCAACTTATTTATCGTTGGGGACCAAATAATCACAAAATTGTCCACTCTGATTGATTATTTGGTGACAATCTATGAATAAGTTAAATAGTTTCTGAAGTCTACAAAGAATAATAGGGAAAGAGTAGTCCAAGTAAGCAAGTAGAGAGGATTGTGTAGTTTTTTTATTTTATTTTTTATTTTTTATTTTTTATTTATAAATATTTCGTTGGAGATAATTACAGAAGTCAATTGTGTTTTTCTTAAAATTTGTACAGAACCTTGGCTTTGATGTAGTTTATTTGAGCATTGTCTGTTTTTCTGATGATCACATTGAGATCATGCCCAATATAATATTGATTGAACAAAAGGAAAGCAACGAAACAAGCAGGTGGGCCATTACTACGCATGGTAGATTTGTATAGAAATAAGAAATCTATTGTTTAATAATATGCTTCTACTTTCTTCAGAGGGCAAGTTGAATTACTATATTATTTCTGAAATAGTACGAAGAATAGCGATCTTTCTGTGCTCCACCGAAATTCAATTTAAGATTTTTGAAACCAGTGAGTTTTTACGTGGAACCACATGAAAAAGCAGATTAAATTATACAAGAATAGTTAGAAAGGAAGATATATATATATATATATATATATATATATATATATATATATGAGAAATACAAGTCTCATGTTATAGGAGACTTGTTATTTCATGCCATAGATACAAAGTATATGGGATCCATTCTTTTAAAAAAAGTAAAAAAAAAAAAATTGTTAGCACAACTTTTAATGTATGAGTAAGAGGATATGTTATCTTATGTAACATGAGAAAAACATATCCTTATTTATTTATATATATATATATATATATATATATATATGAAAAATATTAGTCTGATAAGAGATAACAAGTCTCTTCTACACACTGAAAAAGATGTGGGCTCACTTCAAATTCTTTTTTCTCTTTTTCTATGCAATGAGATCCACGTAAGTTTGTGAGTGTAAGATGAGATATCTGCATGAAAGAACTTTTATATGCTGCCTCATCGCTGTAAGAGAGTACAGAAATCCAGGTGCTCTTTAGCCTTTAGGTAACCCAAAGTTGGAGTCAATAAATTCGTCGATCTTATTAAACCGTCTTGTATATGTCATGAAAATCTCACTAAGTTATTGGTTGTTACTACCTCAAAATCATACGCATAGTTATACTGTGGATGAATACCTGCAAGTTCTTTTCACTTTTATCAAATGCCACCCTCTTGACCTACGCCTAAATTTCTTTCATGATGTTTGCGAAATCTATACCTTTTGAGGTCATACCTCTTGGATGAATTCTTTTTACGAACCTACATAACCTCTTCGTCCCACAAAATCTTACAGTCAGAGAAATCTCCCATATAATTTTGAAGGACTGAATGAGTTGAGGAGGTAAGTTTTGAAAACTTCCTAGTTTGTACAAGGGAAATAATGAAATATGTCTGTTATATTGGATAAGATAATCATGCACATAAAAAGGTGAGTGAATTTTTTTTTTTTCTCTCTTTTACTTAGTGAGTCTCATCCATTTATGTTGCATGAAATAATTTTATCTCCTACAATATGAGTAACATATTTCCCTTGCTATAATTAACAATGTTTATTTCATAAGCAACTATTTAAAGCTTTCATCTCTAATTTGTTAAAAAGTCGGTTTCCCTTACAGTTGGGAAGGGTCGGCAGTTGAGGTGGACAGTCGGTGTATTGGACCTATTGGTGCCCCACTTGCATGTTACAAAATTCTAAGCACAAACTTCTCTTGTCAGAGGGAATTCAAATTTGAGAAAAAAATATAGGTATAAAGATTTCTCTCTTTATCTCATTGGGTTAAATAAGTTGTCTACATTGAGCTCAAAATGACATCGTTTTGAGACAAAAATTGAGATATTTTTATAATTATAATTTATTTCAGGGTTATAATAATGTTTCTCATCATAATTTTTTTAACCCAAAACGACATCGTTTTATAGAAATATTAAAACCTTGTCTTATTAGAAAGAAGTTCTTTAGAGATAGGTGTATTTTTTTATACTTGAAATAAATGTATTTTAATTAAAGCTTACATAATATCTCGTATGCAATTAATTGATTTGAGTGTGAATTATTGAGTTGTCATTCTGGTTCTTACGAAATCACATGGGATTTGTTAAGGGGGCTCGGCCAAAAATTGCACCCAATTTTCTAGACAAAGGACAATATTGGTTACACCTTTTTCAATAATGATGTACACGTTATCCGTTGAATATGTAAAACCCATTTCTTTTGACATTTTATTATTTAGAAAGGGATGACTACACAATGGCCGGAACACGTTACCATAGAGTCTGAATTGCTACAAACCCGTGAGTTTCTTTTTGTATAAAATATCTTATGTGTGTGTGTGTTCATGAAAAGATATATAAAGGTTGCAAATTACGTGAAATGAATTACTTTGCTTGTGCAAATTCTGATGATCACACTTTATTTCTTTTGAATAATATACTATCAATGTTAAATTTTTCAATGCTTACATTTAGCCAGTATTTCTCGTCTCTCTCTCTCTGGTAATAAAAGTAAAGTAACTTTAGGTTAACAACTTATATAAATGTGTACTGACTAGTCAAATACATGTAACTGAAGTTGGATTACAGTGATGAGGGATATATAATAATGTAGAGAATGTGATAGATAGATTCAAACTTGAAATATCTCATGATTTTAACCAAAAGAAATTTGATTGTAATTCAATATATGTCAATACCCACTTTAAACCACAACTGTATTATAAAGATCACCCAAAAATGGGATTTCGAAAGAAGGTCAATTTCTTTTTTCGATCGAAGGACCAAAGATTCACTAGTCACTACAGGCAAAAAGACAGATGGAAAGTCTACAAAGAAAGTTGGGGAACTGAGAAGGATTAGAGAGGGATCTACAAAAGTACTATCCTTACAAGTGAAATAGTAAGTTATAAAACTTGTGCTACTTATTAGAATCATTAAGGAACAAAGTGTCAACAAAACCATCCATGAAACTGCTTCCATCTAATTCAAGTTGTTGGCACTTAAATCCTATCAGTTCCTCTAACTCTGCGCTTGGAATCCAACCATCACATAATTGAGCACCTTCAGCATCATCCAACCAATCAAGAAAATCTTCCTCTTTCTTCAAGCCCTTACTTTGTTGCACACTTGTCACAATCTCATCTTCAATATTGGATGACGTCGCCCCCACCAAAGGTGTACTTGGAGAGTGAATTGTTGTTAAGGAATTTGAAGAACAAGTCCTTTGGTCAAGAGTGCTTATAGGTGCAACTATTGATGAATTGTTCTTTCGAGTGATCCCTGCTAGTGAGTTTCTACGAGTTGGGTGAGGATGACTATGTTCTGCTGTGTAGGTAACCAGAAAAAGTCCTGGATCCAAATTGCTCCTTTCAACTTGTTTCCTCGCCAAGCATCCTTTGGAACTGCTGCATCTATAGTAACTTCGAGGATAAGGTGAACCCTTTATTGGTTTCTGTCCATATTTACGCCATGCCCACGCATCACAAACACCATCTGCTGCTGTCACCTGCTTCACCACCCTCTTCACTTGGTTCTTCTTGCTGAAAACATTTAATGCATATATATATATATATATATCATTTACTTTGCAACACTTACGTACACCTCTTTGAAATATATACCATATATATATGAAGCATGCATCAACTTAGGATATGTAAATTCCATATATAAATCAACTTATATATAACAACTCTTGTATCAAATCTTAACTGTTGATATCTATTTGCATTCCATGTTAGCTAGATTGACTTTACAATTATTGTAAAACAAATGAAACTTTGTATTTTTGATTGAATGAAGACTTATAAACTAACCTACCTTCTTTTACATTTAGATACTGCTGGAACTTGCAAATCTTGTAGAGCTACTTTCTCTGATGCTTTAAGTACTTTGACTTCTTCGGTTTCTTTGGGGATAGGTAGGGAATTTGTAACGATGGTCTGTGAGGAAAGAGGGTGCAAAACTGGACAGAAAGGTTTGTAAAGTTCTTCCAATTCATCATGGACCTTGGTGGTTTCTGAGAATTGAGGAAAAGTGCCAAGTAGCTCATCTTGTTCAGAACAAAAAAGAGAAAAATTAGGATGAGGTTCATCGATCATGGTGTTAGCTGAGGCTTCACCGGTGCATCCTCTCACAATAGCTTCCAAATCCCAGTCCATCAAGCACGCAAGCTCATCCATCAACACAAGGTAAACGATTAAGATAAGGAGAGAGGATGAAGAAATCAAGAAGTAAAGAGAAGATTGGTGGGCCAGGTGCCTTTAAAGTTACAATGGAAATCAGATATTTTTGTAAAGAGAAGGGTTTTTGAAGAAATGTCAACCAATATTTGGTTATATATATACATGAAATGATAACCAGTGGATGGTGCTTTGAATATATATGTTGTTTTTTTGCTTCAGAGTTCAAAGTTCAAACCGGCAATAGTATATTCAATTGAGTTGACTAACAAGAAAGTCAAAATGGGAGCAAGTGGGAGTGGGGAACCAATATATTTTCAGCAATGGGGTGCTATGCTAGCTGAACCCCCATATTTCCCTTTGTTTGGGATTATGGGCTCATGGCCGACCCTATGACAGTGAGTAAGACAGTTGAATCAGTCTTGCCGTTAAGTCATTATACTATACAATACTATTGGTTGGAGAATCTCATACGTAAGGGGCCAATAATTCGGATTTATTAATTGGATATATAGATTAAGCATCAGCCTTAAGATAAAAAAGAGTAAAGTAATTTTCCGGTTACTAATAAAAAATATGGTCCTTAAATTAATTTTTGGTCTATCTACAATTTCAGTTCTTTAAAAATGTAATCCTTCAGAAATTCAATGAAGACCTAATTTAATCTTTAAAAAAAGACTAATATAAATATTTTTTTGTTGTTGTAAAAGATAAAAATAAAACCGTATTTTTTATTATGCACCCATCGTTTACTCAAATAAAAAAGTGAAATTAGAAAGTTAAGTCTTGGTGAGATCATGTTCATGACAGTTTAGTTAAAATTTTCTCCAAAATCACTTGCTTTTTGTCTGCTTATAATTTGAGAGGCCACTGGGGGATGACGGAGGGAGTTCATAAAATGACAGAGTCTTGTGATTTTCTTACATAGGATTTCATAGTCTCCAACCCTTATAGTTGAGAGTTCGGACCACGCTAACTCTCCTTGGCCACTAAACCATTACCAAACTATCAATCCTAACTAGGAGCCAAGGAAACTAAAATTACTTCTTTCTTTTCCTCCTTATCCCCGAGAGTTACAACTCGAACGAAGTTCGAAGATTAAAATGTTCCATTCATTCAAGGCAAGCTAATTAACATACGTAATTAAGCAAATTTGTCCAATACCGCCAAATTCCCCACTAAACCAACTTCTTGGCAACCATATATATATATATATATTATCAATCTAAATAATTGATTTACTTATATTTCACGGTTGATCTATTTAATAAATTAAAATTATGGGAAAAGTGTTTGTCATTTTAAATGACAGAGAGTTATGTCATTTTAAGAGATATACAGACACAGAAAATTTAAATTTTAAATTAAAAAAAATCACTCACTTTCTCTCTCCCATGATTTCTGTTTTTCTGTGTCTATCTCTCTCCTAGAATGACATAACTTATGTCATTTAAAATGACAAACCGAACCCTAAAATTATTAGATATAAATAAAATTAACCGTTAAAAACGTAAGTTGCACTTGTTGAAAATGAATGATCATGTCCCGTCTGTAACTGTGTATATAATATGGCCAAGTCAGAAAGTAAAGATATGTTCCAACTTGCATGGGTCTTCCATATGCCTACCCCATGCGATTAAATTGAAGGGGGGGATATGTATATATGGTGTATGGTCTTCACTGGTGACCACCGACTTGCTTAACAAAAAAAGAAAGCAAAGAAAAACAATCATCTAAAAGTGAAATATTGTTTGTTTCGTGAAACGGTGGGAAACTGCTGCGAAGCAAATGTGGACTTTTAGAACCTACAACGTGGTCCGCCTAGTACGTTGAGTTCGGAATCAACAAACGTTACATTACGTCATCACATCCCAATTTTATGACTTTAACGACCAGTTGTGTTGTGCCTGTTCACAAGAGTTTTAGGAAGAGTGTACATGGCGTGTACCATGCGGGTTTTGTAATAAGAAAATGCTTCTCAGAAATCCGGGTAGGTTCCGTGGCATGGTTTCCCTGTTTCCATTTACTTTGTGCTCCAAACAGCGTCTCTTTTCTTCACTAGTTGAATTTTTTAACAAATATATAAAGAAAAAAAAGGTTTTCCCTCATTATTTTTCTTCCATTTTGTCCAGCCAAGTAATGATCAAGTGGGTAGTGTCGTTTTGTTGAAAAATTGCTTACGTGTTTGGTTAAATAATTATCAAATGTGTTATTTCTAACTTGCCCCCACTTAATCGGTGACAAAAAGGAAATTGCCACTTAAGCGAAAGAAATGTTTGTAAGGATAGCACAGTTGACAACTGAGTGATGAAGAGTTTATTTTGATCGCCTTTCTCTCAAAAGAGAATTAGTCTCCCCCTTCCTCCATAAGAGTGATCTAATATCGTATTCCAAGAACAAGGTGATTGGAAGAAGTTGTATGAGAATATTTTCAGGTAGGAGTATAAATGGGTTAGGCCAGCTTATGTAAAATAGAACAGTCTTGAGCTTTTTAAAAAATCTATTCAGGAATAGAGTTTTTGTACATGTCGGACCTATAAGTCTACAAGCGGCTTATATCATATTATTTATTTTAAATAAAATAAATAATAATTTTAATAATTTTTAATAATAAAATAATATTATTTTAGTTATTCTTTTAAGGGAAAAATATTTCTGCAATTACTGCAAATAAATTATCTGTATTTATTCTCAAAACGACATCGTTTTGGTATTGAAATATTAAAAAATTATAAATATAAAGACTATTATAACCCTGAAATAAATTAAAATTATAAAAACACCATGATTTCCATCCCAAAACGACGTCGTATTGGACTTACTGCAGATAACTTATATGTAGTAATTGCAGAAAAAACAAAGTCTTCTTTTAATTATTAAATGTTTAATAGGCTTTAACAGGTTAAGGGCAGGCCAGATCTAATATTTTTTATACAGGCCCGGCCTATTTTACGTTAAAGTTTAGCTTAACCTAACCTATTTACACCCCTACTTTCAGGTATGTTTTAATACAATAATAAAAATTGAACATATAACTTAATATAAATTATTCAAGTCTCTCGTCACTAGACTAATTCTAATAGCTTACCTCTAGGTTATCTAAAAAAAAAAATATTTTGTTAATATCAACTAAAAAAAACTATGCATTTAACAGTTAAAAGTGTGGGCGTTAGTGCTCCGTTGAAATGAATACAATTCAAAAAATACAAGATAGTTAGATAATATATTTAACTAAAATAATACACATTGAAAATTACATATCTGGGCCCAATTTTTATGCCAATAATTTTATATTTATGATTTATATAATCATTATATTTATGACTATTAAATTGAGTTCTCTACACACATATAATGCCTATACCAATAATGTTTATGATTCTGTCCCTTCGGGGACATCCGACAAAAAAATGTTTATGGTTCCTGAAAGTGTTGCTCGACCGAAAGAAGTTTTACAATATAAAAATTAATAAAATCATATTTCAACAAATTAATTATAATAAAGTTTAAATATGGACAAGATCAACTTACATTATAAATAAAAAATCTTACACCAAATTTTAACCGTTAATTTTCATAAATTTAATAATTATAATTTATTAAGTTACACTCAATGATTAATAATTAATTTCAAATAAATTATAACCATTAAATATAAAGAAATTAATAGTTAAAATTTATTATTCTTACTCCAATATAAATTAACCTTATCCCGTTTAAATAAGAATTTGTTAAATTTAAATTAGAAGACCTCGTTAAAATTTAACTTTCCATCGACTCTCAATCTCACTTGCCAATCTCCGGCGACAAGCTTTCCAGTATATTCCATTGTATGTTCTGTCAGAGTAGTAGATGGGAAGAGAATCAAAAGAAACGAGAGGCATTCATATATATGTATATATATATATATATATATATATATATTTTCTTATCTACAAAAGGAATATCTATCTATCAAGCTTTTTAGCAAGAATAAGAAACTTCAAAGCGCTAATAAAATAAAGGAACTGTTGACATTTCAAACTTAATGCATCATGCACATGTTCCATTATTCCTATGAGTACAAAGAGATAATTTCAATATTTAATCCAGGTGACAGAAGCACTTAACACACAGTACAAAAAAATAATAAATAATAAAACAAAAACAAAACAAAATTTCATAAAATGGTATTTAATTACTACAACATTCGTCGACAAAGCTAAGAAACGAAACTTAGCTACACTATATTCCAAGCTGCAATCTACTCATTCGCACACGTATCTCAAATCCCAACCCGTTTTCTCCTCCAAAATATAATTAAGAAAGGCAGCAAAAGAGGTATCAAAATTTAGCTTCTCTTAGATGCCAATCGCACTCTTTTCCCTTCAATACAAAACTTCCGGCTACCTGTCAGCTGCAATCAAGGACCAAATCATGTCACAACATCGTAGACGATACATGAAATGATAATGCATACAATGCCAAGTATAATAACAAATAAATGCACGGGCTCTGTTAAGACTGGATCCCATATCCCAGATATAAAGGTAGTTGTTAAGTATAATAATAATTCAAGCATCCAACATTTCAATCATGAAAAGATTATGCTTTAAGAATTCGGCATAGTTCTCCACAATCCATACACAAATTTATTATGCAATGCAAGAGAAACCAGGCCGCATGTAGTAATAGGCATTCTGAAGATATGTAACAATATAAATTTAAATTTAAATTTAAATTAGAACAGGAAGAAAGGAGAGTGACTCCATTCTATACAAAATGAAATGTCTAAAAGTGATATGTGATTAAGGCCATCATACCTTCTGCTTCAAGTATGCAACACCCTCTCTTTTTGAAGAAAAGTCAGACAAAACTGAAGATGAATGTTCATCAATAAGAACTTTGAGCTGTTTCAGTTTCAATGATTCTCCAGGCACCTGTAGTTAAGCCAGTAATCAGTCATGAATTTACTACTAAGGAGAAAAAAAAAATTGCAACACAAGAAATCGGCCATACCCTGCCTAGAATCTGTTTACACAACTTTTTCAGCTTCACTTTGGATTCAACAATATTTTCTACTTTAATTAAGTCATGTGATTGTTTTTGCAGAGAATCGATGTCGGCAGAATCTTCATCATCACTATCATCAAATGATGTCTTTTTACCCTGAAAATAGCAGCCAGCTACTTTCTTGGTCCTATCCTTGATGCCTAGTCCTTGCTTTGCCGTTGTAGATTTCTCCTGGATAACAATTATAGCACATAAATTATTACACCCTTCATGTTTGATTATGATATTTATATCACAAAATGTGCTAAAATTGAAGATATCAGTCAAGCATCTCCAGCAACCATCCTGATAATTGAGCATCACATATGACCAAACTACCATTATCATCTGATAAAATAATATAAAGCAAATAATAAGTTCGCAAAACAAGAGGTCACATACTTGGACTAGGTTGTAGAGTTTTTCTTGATCTTCTTCATAAAATGCAGTTCTCTCCGTCCTATTTTTGGCACTTTCAGATATCAGGGACTTTTTCTTCTTTCGTTCTGCTCCAAGGAATCCACCAGAGACAAACCCATATTTATACCCCCACCACTCTGGTGGATGGATACCAGGACATTTACTTCCTGTAACAATGCAATATAGTTGGAATTTGAGAAATTCTGAATTTTATTCACGTGAATATTCATGTATAAATATTTACAATACATAAACTAATGGTAATAACTGTTTTCCTAATAAAGTGCTGATTCCAGGAAAATAAATGAGATAAATCAAAACTTATAATCTGTCACGTATCTTTCCTATCATAATCATTCTAATACAAGGAAAAATGAAACTACAATAATTAAACGATTAATCATTCTATATATACAACACCCCCTCAAGCAGGTGAACGGATCCTGTGGTTGGACTCCTAACAACCTCTGATACTTTCATTTATCAATCTTGAGATTATTTTATTCACTTCCCATTTTGTCAATATGCTCAATAGACACACCGGTAGTTTTAAACCCAAATATTTTAACTTCATTGAAGAGATCAAAGACATACTTCCTTTGAGAGATAAAATAACCTTGTTTAGAGCATAGTTGTCGGTAGCAGCAGTTAGCGGCCGGTAGCAACCGACCCCGAAAATGGTATAGCAGTGTAGCGGGTAGCACAATTGCCGCTATGGTGAAGTATTAATTCCACATATATTATACTAACAGTCAAGAAACGAGGAAATACCGCTTTTAGTATTAATGCTCAAACATAAGAAGTCACACAAAATCAAATACATAATTCCACAATCAATGTCAAATACAAGGAACATAAAGGAAGGATCCAAAACTAAACACAAATGAATAATAAAATTGTCAAATAGTCAAGTACAAGAAGTGAACTAATGAAGAAATTCATCATCATCTCTGGATTCTCCATCAAATTCCAACATGGGAATGGTGTAGCGGGTAGCAGTATTGCCGCTACGCTACGCTGTTACCTTCCGCGACGGCCAATGTCGCGTAGCGTCGCGGTTTGTAGCGGCCGACCGCTGCTACCCGCTACGGTAGCGATTTAGCGACGCTTCGGGCCGCTACTGACAACCTAGGTTTAGAGTAGGCAACTTCTACCCCAAAAAAATACCTCAACTTCCCAACGTCTTTACTTTCAAATTCAACAGTCAATCTTTCCTATAGTGGGATTTTTTTTAATTTGATCTTCATCTTCCCCGGTTATAATGAGGTCAGCTAGAAAGAAGAATAGCAAATTTTTCCCAATGTTCAAAGAAGAGAGTGTGGTCTCCTTGACTCTGCTTATTAGCAAGGACACCATCACCTTTGTAAACCTTCCAAACCATGGACGGGAAAGATTCCAGAATGCTTAGCTGTTTAAGAACAAAGGTGATATTCAACTTGGTGATGAGTTTCTAAATTATCCATGGAGAACTCCCCATGACAATAATGTTATCAACGTAAATAAGGATATACAAGCAGTGAGAGGGAGGATGGACAGAGAAAAATAACGTCTGACAAGGGCTGAAGCCAAAACTGACTAAAGTATTTACAAACTGCCCAGACCGGGCCCTAAGTGCTTGCATCAACCGAAGAGGCTATGTCATGTAGACTTCCCCAGCTAGAACACCATTGAGAAATGCATTATTGACATCTAGATGTTGAAGAATTCATTTGCTGGAAATGGAAACTGTGAGCAAAATTATTTTTGTGGTTGGCTTAACCACTGGAGAAAAAGTTTTGGTATAATCAAAACCAGGTTGCTGATGGAACCCTTTGCAACTAGCCAAGTCTTGTATTTATTTACTTTACCAAGTTATTAAGCCATCAGGATTTTCTTTCACTTTAAAGACCCACTTACAACCTATAGGAGGTCGGTCATCGCAAAAGCAAGGTCATTCCGAGTGAGCAGCATGGTCATAATGGACTACGAAGTGGGTTGTGTAGTCTAGATAGTCCTATAGTTGGACATGGTGGCTAGGGGCAGACTGGGCCATGCAGAAGATTAGAGTGTACGCACAATTGATGATAGGTGTGTAGGCCAAGGCTAAATCTAGAGAGAGGAGGTCACAGTGTGATGTTGGGAGTGATAAAAAAAGCAAGGTGGCCCAAACACGCCTCCACGCGTGGTAGGAGCAGTGGTGCATGGATCTGACACAGAGAGCACGTGGGGCAGCTATCAGTGACATATCTCTGGGAAATGGATAGCCAAGACAACGGTTCCATTGGTGGATGAGAAATTTTAATAAATTATCTGATAATGCATGTCTGATGAATGTGTCGTCTCAGGCGCAAACTAAGAAGGCGTTTGGTAGAGGAGAATTTTTTTTGTTCTTCCCAGGAATATTACCAAAAAACTATTTGATAGTCCAAAATATTATCAGGAATGTTAGCTTCAATTTCCTGATTCTATGTTGGTTGATTGTCAAATATTGCTACGAATGTGGGTCATTTTACAAAACTAACCTTCCACCATTTTTCAATATTATTATTTTTCTTCTTCTCTTCCTTCAATCTCAGACACACACATACACTATCTCTTCACGTGTTTCATCGTGCTGGCAATTTTGTTTACCAAATTGAACAATTTGTTGGCCACTTCATCGTCTGAATTCAGCTGCATTCTTTAAACCACGAGAAACACATGTTTTTGTTGATCTTTTTGTTTTGACCTTCAAAACTAAATCTTCGCCTTGCAGAAACTGTTTCCAATTCGAGTCTCGTTGGTTCCTATAGGCATTTCATCTATTTTTTTATTTTTTTTTTGAAATTTTCTTGCCATTTTTTATAATCAAGTTGAGATTTTTGTGAGAATCAGAAATGGCTAACAAAAGTTCGTCAAATGGGTCAACTTCATCTGATTCGGATAAGGCTTTGGCTTCCTCGCCATCATCCCTATCGTTCAATGACTCAGATTCTCCACCGCCTTCCCCGTCTCCACCATCTCCTTCGTCCCATGACTCAGATTCTCCACCGCCTCCTCCTCCGCAGTCTCCACCGCTATCTCCGTCTCATTCTTCCCACGCTTGAACCATTCTTTCACGTCTAGGGCTAACAATAGAGGGTACTTTTGTCCATAAAATTTTGGAAAATTTATCACCCACCCGGTGGTATTCTTTGTTGGGATTTTGCTTCACAATTTTCAAATTCCTAGGAAAATTTTCACAATCCTTATATCAAATGTGGGTAAATAAGATTCCCAGTGTCAGTTTCTCGGGAATCTTAAAATTTATCTCTCCACCAAATGCCCCCTATTAGGCATTTGATTGATATGAAGGAGGTCGAGGTCAGCTACAATGAAGGCAAGGCTGCAGTCGAAGCAAGCTAAGGCTTCGAGGAGGCACAATCTACCAAATTGGTAGCTCTAATACCAAGTTGTGAAGACACATGGTATTAAAGTCTTTATGATTAAGTGTTCTAGATTTTGATCATTGCCGCTTCCATTCTTCTAATAAAAAAAAGTTAAAATTCAACACATGATAAGTGAGCCTATATATTGCCTTTGCTTAAATAAAAACCAAAAGGCTCTTGCATGAGGGGGCATGTTAGAGATATAATATAAACCATATATAGATTATATATACATGCATGAGTGAATATGTTTCTTTGTTTTGAAATTTAATTAAGTCTTCGGCATCTTTGCCATTATTTTTTAAATTGTCAATATTTTGGATTGTGGCTCGTCCATCAACTTAAACATACAAAAGAAGCAAAGTAATCATAGCCTATAATTCAGAATGTGTTATATATATTTTTTAAAATAAATCAGGCCAAGCTTATAATTTAGCTTGTATCAAGCTAATAAGCCAAGTCAGACTTGAAATTTTTTACATAGGTCTAGTCTATTTAGGATAAAGCCTGGCTTGACTCAATTACACCCCTAATTGCATACAATTGATGGCCCTTAAAACTCCCTGCATAAACAGATTGCTTATAAGGAAAACATCCCTGAAATGACCTTTTTCCTTTTCAAAGTAAGTAAATCTACAATTCCAAGGGAAAATTAGTGAAGTACAGTCAGTATATATACATATTACATTTATCATTCTCCAAAATGATAGCTCTGTTTACTTTTAATTTGTGTGTGTGTGTTGTTTTTTTTTTGGGGGGGGGGGGGGGGCGTATGAGGGGGCCTCCATATAGGAAGGTGCACCCTTCGCATGTATCCAAAGAAAAAATCACAACAAAAGTTGGCCTAACTGTTAACATGACGATGCCTATCGCTAGCATACGATAAAGCAATTGGAGGTGTAGGGGAATCATCTATTGAATTTTTATCTTAATAGAAGAGCTACAGGATTAAAAACATCATGAAGGGAAAAAGAAAGAGAGAGAAGATAAGAGGTTTTAACCTGAACCTGCAAAATATAGCAATGTAGTCCAAACATCACATGTAATGTCATAATCAATATAAATAGCACGAAAAAACTCATGGCAATCCAAGATTATACCTTCATCTTCAAAGTTTTGAATTTCAGATGTCTTTAACAAGTCCGGTTCACCATCAGAATTATCAGTGTCCCCAGATATTTCACCCTTTTTGACCTATCACCAACATCACAGAAGTAAACAAAAAGTGACAACCTTGCATCAAATAAATTGAAATATACATCTAAGAATCTTGATAATAGAAAATGCTAATAGTATAGACAGAATAACAATAGCATAATACTCGAAGTTTAAGATTAAAAGTAACAGAAAAAAAATTTCAAATAAAAGAAGCACAAGGGGCAGTTGATTTTCAAGCATCGATTCATGTAATTACAATCTCTGGTTAGTTCTTCTTCGAATTAAGTTTAATGAAATAAAAGTTGGGCATTCTCAGGTATTAGAATACACAAATCAACTTTAAGACTCTGAATATAAATATCAGCTTGTGTATGTTCATTAACCAATGCAGATGATGACAAAACCCCATTAAGTGAAAACATATCTTCTAAAATGGAGATAGTGACCATGTAAAAGTTATAGGTGTTCCATGTTCATTAAATCAAACACAGAAGCAGACCCTTGAACAGAATCTAGTAACTAAAATAACCACAAGTAGAATCCACTAATTAAAAGGGTTTGGTAAATAGAATCTGAAGGCCAATATCAGTACCCAATTCCATTTCCAACAATTTTAGTTGGTGATTCATTCAATTCTGGAAAATCATTTCACGCACCTAATTTAAAATATAAATAAAAACACATTTCATTTACATCAATACTTTCACAATTTAGGATACCAAATCAAAACAGACACTAGATATTTAATTTATCTCAAAATCAACATCACATTGCAGCTACGCAGCATCACCATTTTCGTTTTTGAAAATTCTACAAACTAATAATAAAAATAAGCATATTATTCAGGTTCTTTAAGATGTGCAATGAATGATTTATCCATGGTTAGAATTTGGAACCTACAAGAATTCCTTCAAGATCCTTCAAGGAATACTCAGAGACAAGCTTCCCCCTCTCTCTTCTCTTGTACCTAAAAATACAGCAAAGAAAAAAAAAAACATGTATGATTAAATAAATAATAGACTCCAAGTCCCTGCGGAGGTTCCATAAGGTACATTCACTTTGTTGGGAGGTGTAGACGCTTAAGCTGGGAACGGCAGTAAGGTCCGGTCACCACTCCCGTGCAGCGGGAGTTCCGAAACAGGCAGTACTTGCCTCGGATAATCCCAGTTGAAGCCCTCTTCCCTCCGGGGAATATGGGCTTGTAGTTATAGATCAGTCAGGGCAACAATTTAAATAGAAATCATACAGACCTTCCTTGTGGTCTAGTAGCTTTGGAGACAGAATCCCGATCATCAACAGGAACACTAGTCTCGGTTTCCACCTTAGCTGTGTTAGTGTCTATGTCTGACACAGTACATAAAAACACAATCCTCATAATACATTCACATTGAGAGAGAAGAGGAAAACTTGTAGGAAATAATTATACCTGCATCATGGGATGGTGGCGCTTGCTACACATTACATGTAAAGAAAGGTTTCAGTGAAGAGAAAAAGAATTGAATAATAAGATAATTATGTCAGGCAAGGTAAAGCAATGGATGGAGAGAAAACATACAACTTTCAATCTCTTGAGGATATCATCAAATTGTGTAGTGTCAAATGCCCAATTGTTTGGCTTCTCTAAACCAATACCTAATTAAAAATGAATGCATAGCATGATAGATTAGATTCAACATATGATGAAGGAGGTTGGGTTGAAATTAATAAATGGAAAAGCAAAGAAGAAGAAGAAGAAGAAACAAACCAATGGTGTCCTTCTTGTTTTTAACACGAACATGTCCTTTGATACCCTGCTTCTCTTTCCCAAGACCTTCTCCTTCTTCCCATCCCTAAATAACTAATCAAATTCAATATGCAAAACAATCAAAGAAACGAACGACAGAGACAGAGAAAGAGAAAGAGAAATAGAAAGGTGACCATTTGCTTCATGAGGCGAAAAGCAGCGGATTGCCTAGCGACACCGACGTAACAAAGAGGGGTTTCAGGCGCCGCCATGGCTCCGACCACTGCACCGCCGCCCCGCTGCTTTTCCTTATTCTTATTCTTATAAACACCAATTTCTCTTCTGAACCTTAGGGCTTCAGAAACCAAAGCTATACTCTTACCTACTCTGCTGTGATTCTGAAGTAAACAAATATATTTGCGTGTTATTTGTTTTCATATATTTCAGCAGCGCTATGCTTTTCTCACGTTAAATGAGTTAACATTGTTTCACCCAGAGACATAATTACGTGGTCCTATAATTAAAAAAAAAAAAAAAAATATTGACTCGGATTTTAATGGGTGTGTAACATGAAATAAGTTTTTTATGTAACATGAGAAAAATATTTCTCATTTTAGTATTATATTATAACAAAGGATATGATATTGTACAATCAATTAAGGTTATTATCAATATTATTATCAATCAATTTTACCGTTAGATTGATTATATTGATCTTACGGTTATATTTATTTTCATTTTTATAGTGTTATAATTCTTCATATTTAATATTTTATATTTATTTTCACATTTGTATGATTATGATTTTTTATATTTAATATAAAAGCATTAAATATGAGAAATCATAATCATACAAAGATGAAAATAAACATAATCATTAGATCAACATAATCGATCTAACGATGAAATTAATTGATAATAACTTTAATTAGTTGTTACAATATCTTAGGGGGGAATAATACATTACTTTATTATTGGTTGTATGATAATTATCTTGGTAGTTTATGAGTAATTCTTAAACAACAAAATTATGATTTATTTATAAAATTAATTAACTATTATTTTAAATGTATAATGTTTAAATCAGATTAATTTTTTTTAAAAAAAATATAAGTTCAAAAATTATTACAAATTGATTTTTTTTATATATTATTCATTGATTCAACATTACTTTAGAGATCACATACGGGAAACTCCAAACTATTGGTTAAATTAAGACAACTCATTACCAATTTGATTCATGTGTTTGATGGTAATTAATTTAATTTTAAAATAATAATAATATAATTTTTAAAGTGTCTTTTGTTTTGCATCAAAATTATGTTGAGCGATCAAGAGCCCGTTTGTTTGGGCTTATCAAAAAAGTAACTTTTATATCTACTTTATTTTAGAAGTGTTTTTTATAAAAGTTAAAGTTATTTATATTTTTATTAAAATATTTAGTTTTTTAAAAAAATCTTTGGCTTTTGACTTTTGCTTTTCTTAGAAGTTAAATTTTTAGCTTTTGAAAAAAAGTAGATTTTTGACTTTTTTGTGACTTTTGCTTTTTTAAAAAACAGACATCCAAACGAACTAAAAACGATAAGTGTTTTTTTTCTTGAAAAAAGCAGCTTTTGAAGAAAAAAAGCTCATCCATACGGGCAAATATGAAATTGAACACTGATTGATCATAATTTAGTTAATTTCTTTAGTAACAAAAATTAACTTCGCAAGTAGAAGTAATTTGGAGAAAAAAAAATTTAAATTTTTTATGTCGGTAAAATTAAATCTAAGTATGAGACTTATAAAAATTTTATAAACATACTTATTATTATCCTTTAAATAAAAATAATTCTTATAAATTCCTTTTTTAAGTACTATTTTCGAATATAAGTTATTTTTTTAACATCAATTTTTTATTATTAATTCATTTAAAAATAATTTTACCAAAATTTAAATGTAACAAAGTTATGTTTTTCGGAGGCGGTTATACTCATCATCATTTTACGCTTACAACTCTTACTATCTATTTAGTTACTGTTGGACTAATTTGAAATTAACGGTTGAACATTGATTTCAAACGGTAACCAAAGTAGTAAGGAATGTAAGCTTAAAATGGTAATAAATATAACTTTCTTTGTGTTTTTCATAGTTTGGCGATGGCATCTTCCTCTTCACTTGAGTCATGCAAGAACCGCTACTCCTTGAATCCATTCTCATTTTTTGGCTTTTTGACTCTTTTGTCCATTTTAAAAATAAAATTAGCAGTATGTCCCCATTTTTATACTACTTAAAACTTTGACCATTTACTATAACTTAACATCAATCTGCCTCTATTTGACCGTTGACTGGTTGATGTAATCGATTACATAAGTTATGTAATCGATTACATGACTCAAATTTACCATAAAACTTTGAAAGATAATAAATTTTGCCTCGAGGTCTGAGTGGTATTTTTTTTATTCCATGTAACGTCTTGAGATCTACAAACTGGAATGATTATTTTTTAGTATTGAAAAGTGAAAATAAGAATAGGAATTAAATAACATCATCTACAGAGATAAAATAGGCCAAAAAGGTCACAATGAAGCAGTTTTTGGAAAAAAAAATTGACCAAGTCCCTTCAAAGGCAGATTGGTGTGTAATTTGGAACAGGGACAAAGTGGTACTTTTTAATTTAATGAGGTCAAAAGGGTCAAAAAGCCATCATTTTTTCTTATTCTTTTCATATTGTGAAACTCTCGTAACTTAAGTATCGACGACTCCAAGAATAAGCCCTTGTCGATGGAATTAACATACATGCCCCACCATTGAGGTTGCATAGGGTCTTCCTCTTACTAACATAGGCCAAATATGTCTGGATTTAGAATCTAAGTTGAAGGCTTATGCATCTTTGGTCTTCAACACAGTATGGCATTTTAACCTTAAGGTCCAAGACCATTCATTTAGTTTAATTCCATTTTACTCTTGTTATTATTGTGGGCTGAAATTAGTTTAACCCTAACCCAGTTTGGATGTGGGTTAAAAGGGTTCGTTTAGGAAATTTTTTGGCAGTCTTCAGTTTGGAGTTTGTACGATTGACAAATTATCTCTAACAATCAATATACTTTTCTTTGTTGTTCTTCATCTTTTCTTTTTCTTTTTTTTATTCTTCTTCTTCTTAATTTGAATTATATTTATCTTAGCCATGTTAGGCTAAGCATCTTTTAATCAACCTAAGGGTAATGGATTCCACGTAGGAGTCTAAAGGATCTGCGTATCCTCTTTAATCAAATTTGTTTCTTTATCCAACTCAGGTTGATATTGCACAATTGTGGATATTCAATCTGAGATATGTGATTGCAATTTTGGAAAGATATTGATCATCAAATTTGATGATCAAAATGATTAACCTTGTGACCTTAAGTCTAACGGGCTAGTACTCTGCGATATTATGAGTAGAAGAATCGTATTTGAACAAACACTAGACGATTATTTAGAGAGGGTTTTCAATTGAATGCAAGGATTCTGAATCAATTAAGATCAATTACGACTTTGAAATCTATTTATCCGATGATGGACATCCTATGAATCCTAACCTTAGGTTGGTTATTTAATTATAAAATTTCAACTTTTACATTCTATTTTATTTTAATTCAATCAATTAAAAAAACCCCTTTTTAACTCTTGAAATTTTCTAGAGAGACGACTCAAGTTTGCACCAGTGTTAAGAAACCCGGACCGACCCGGCCGGGTCGACCCGGGAACTGGTAAACCGGTTATATAACCGGTCCAGTTTAAGCAACAGACCGATCATGCATCAGAACCGGTGCGACCCGGGCAGTTTTCATGAAAACCGGTGACCCAGCCCGGTCCCAAAAAAAATTTCAAATTTTTTTTTTCAAAAAAAATGAAATAATAATGGATATATTTGAATATTTTTTTGCTTATTGACTTACATAAGTAATGTACCTACAACACTAATATTATCTCAATTATGCACTGTTCAAAAAAATTTGATTTGATTTATAGTTAGAGATATCGTTTTCTGAACCTAAAGCCCCGTATCACGATCATTATATTTTTGTTTGATCTTTTATCAGATAATAATATGTGATTTATTATTTTTTATATTAAAATATTTGAAATTTTTATCATTTTTTTAGATATCAGAGTATGTTTATAATTTTTTAATATAAATTATAAAATTGCATATAATTACTGGGTCATGCGGTTGAACCAGTGACCCAGTACCTCGACCGGGCCGGTTTTAATAACATTGGTTTGCACTATATTACAAAATTTTATTAAACTTAATTTATTTTAATTTGCGTGAGTTCAACAGCTCGTGTCAGGCAAGAGAGATTTATTTATTTTAATCCATGTGTCATTTTTTGAGTGGAAGTAACATGCAACCGTGCACTGAAAATGCACTCGGTAGCGAAATTTCTAAAATACTATTGTCGCGCCAGTTATTTAGTGTGACGAGCCAATCAAAGCCGGAGAAAGAATGTGCTAGTTGTACGGGGAAGAATTTTTTTTTTTAATCCATGTGTCATTTTTGAGTGGAAGTACCACATACAACTAGTGTATTGAAAATTCATTCCTGGGTAGGAATAAATCTTTGGTGCTACTGTTGCACCAAAGATTCAGTACATCCCACCAATAGAGATCTTTGGTGTCATTTATTCAGTACATTCCACCAATTCAGCTAAAGTTTCTTTCTTTGTCAAATTTTTTCTCTCTCCTATGATGTGTAATGCTTTCATTGGTGGGATGCACTGAATTTTGATGCAACAGTAACACCAAAGATTTATTCCCTAGGTAGGTATCTCGGAGTTAATAGCATCTTAATAGGCACAAGACTCAATCATTGTGCCCTAACCACATTCCTAGGTAGGCATCTTGGTCCTACTTAGTGCTTGTTGGAACCTCTTTTTTTAACTACTTCTCTTCTCATTGTAGGCAGAAAGTAGGTCAAACAGACTTTTATAAAAGCTCTTATAATAAAAAAAAGCTTTTTTTATAATGAAAAAAAGTCAAAAACCAAAAGTTTATAGGAGGAGCTTTTTTAAGTTTTATCAACTTTTTTTGAAATGTATGTTTTGTTTAAATGAACAACTTTTAAGCTAAAAATTTTAGTGGCTGTTTGAATCCTCTCTTTTTTTAGATCTATTCTCCTTATAAGCAAAAGAGAGGCTAAACAAGATTTTACAAAAGCTTTTATAATAATTTTTTTTATAACGAAGAAAAAACCAAAAGCCAAAAGCTCTTGTAAAGAACTTTTTTTAAGTTGTATCAATTTTTTTTGAAATGTGTGTTTTGTTCAAATGAATAGCTTTTAAGCCAAAAAATTTATATAATTATCAGATAACTTGTAGCTTTACTTTTAAGGGTTCGTCACTTCTAATATTGCTGCAGATGAGAAATTTTACA